AGGTAATGTAATTCGGTTTAGTTTGATCTAATTAATGTTAAATATTAATGGTGCTGGCGTGATGGATGCATGCAGAGCCGAGTGTTGGATGGAGCACATGAGGTTGGATAATGGAACGGGGCTGGATCCTCCCGGGGTACGCGTACGTGCGGTCCACGGCCTGGCGGCCGCCCCCTCGTTCGTCCACCTTATTCGCAACCTCGCCCGCATTGGTTACGAGGACAAAAACATGTATTTGGCTGCCTATGACTGGAGGCTCTCCTTTCACAACACTGAGGTATTCTCTTATCCACATTTATTACTCTTCAGTTCCAGATTATATATGTTATGGTGCAGCAAGAGACAGCACGTTTATGATACTTTGGTAAGAATTATCAGCTGTGCAGCTTTTATTCTCTCCAGAGGAAACCGAAGAAACCTCCGCATAAAACATGTGAAGATGACTATATACAAATTGGAGATTGTCCCCAATTTACATTACTATCATCACATTGTAATTTATTAATCACGTTCTGGTTCATGCATGAGTAATTATGCATAATGCACTGCAATTGTCATTGTTCAGAGCTGGTGTATGAATGCTCGCCTGGATTTATATAAATTGGTTCCATATATAATTTATGATAAATACTTGGAATTGGTGGCGGTGAGCAGGTTCGCGACCAATCTCTTAGTAGATTGAAGAGTCAGATAGAGCTGATGGTGAGGGCAAGTGGAGGCCGGAAGGTGGTAGTCGTCCCTTATTCCACGGGGGCTCTGTATTTCCTTCATTTCCTGAAATGGGTTGAAGCACCGCCATCTACTTTTGGAGGCGGAGGGGGCTCATCATGGTGTTCTCAACACATCAAAGCTGTCATGAACATTGGGTCTCCGTTTCTTGGTTTTCCCAAGGCCATGACTGGGATTCTCTCTGATGAGCCTAAAGATACAGCATCTCTGATTTGGTATGCTAAATTCTTTACAACTCCCAACGCAGTGTCCTAATTGTCTCACTCCTACTTGACGAGGAACTAGCTTTCAGTTTGATGGCGTGCGCCTCTGAAAATGCACTAGATGAAGATTACATTGTAGTTATAAACGTTTCTAGGAATTTGGTGAATGATCCTCTGTAAGTATTAGTTATGATCCTAGGATCATATTCTTGTTAAAGAGTATCTTGCATCAATGTCAGTTAAGTGTGACAGACCAGTGGTGGGATTTGGTTCCACATTGTAAAGAGTGCAAGATGTATAAATGGTTAAACATGTTTGAACTTCCACCTTAGACGGGATGATCCTTTTGAGTCAATTGGGCCCATGTAGATTAGTCTGGTCCTTCTCATTAATAGGTCTTTCCAACCCTAACAATTCTCCAATATTGCTTTGTCCTAGATACTTTGTGTCGGATACTGTTAAGAAATAGTACTATATAGTATGTCATTTGTTATGTCACTATCCTGTACTGTGTTCACTAAGAAGATTTTCTAAGCATATATGGTGCGAGATACACAATCATTTATTTCATGATTCTGCTTTCTAAATGAAGAAATTTTTTCCCTCTGCTGCCTAGCTCATTTTCTTTTGTAATAAATTCTTTCCAAGTAACTCATTTCCCCCTGTATTTGATCATATTCACAGGGCTATGTCTCATGGCGATTTGGATCCGAATGTTCATGGTTTTCAAGCACTACAACACATTATGCACGTGTCTCGAACTTGGGACTCTATACATTATGCATTACCAAAAGGCGGGGATGCAATATGGGGTGGAAAAAGTTTGTCAATAAAGGAGAGTTTTGAATGTGAACTAAGAAACAAGAAAAATGCGATGTCCTTATTAAGGGACAGGACTAGTCCCAGCAATGGAACTGTTGGCAAAGGAGGCTTCTCGATTGGTATGCTGGCTCACTATGCAAGGATCATATTCTTCAAAAGGATAACTCCACTGTTTTCGTTAGAGCTTCCACATGCTGATCATTCTAAGGTTTGATATTCTCTCTCTTAACTGATTTATTTATGATTTCTTGCAAGTATCAGTACAGCTCTTAAGTTTCAAATTTCGGTTATATGCCCTACAACCGGACTACAAAAAGACATTTTATATATTTATTAATTTTAAGGAACCACGCCCCTTCATTTTTTTAGGTTGAAGACATGTCTCGTTAATTGAGTAAAATTCTGCATGTGTCAGCCATCGTAACTAGTTAGAAAGAAAGCATTGAACTCTTATATGAAGTCCCACTTCTTTCATCTAATTGTGTACTCCTGCTATGATGAAAAAAAAAAAAAAAAAAAACACTGCTTATGCCTTTTTAGGGAAGATTGCCCAGAATAGCATGATATTGTCAGTCATCGCTCATGAAGGATGACGGTAGAAAGACATGCCCTAGAATGTGAGGATGACAGAAGAAGGTTGTAGAGAGGGTGGAAGGTCAAGCGAAAGTTCAGCAATATGGGGAATTTCTGTTTCCTATACTATTGCATAAGAATATCACTACTTAAAATCGATTTTCAATTGTTTATGTTGCCTTTGCTGTCTTTGGTTTTTTATCATATGGGTTCTATTTTATTTAATGATGAAAACTTCATTAGTATTTGAAGTGAATAAGAAATACCATATACAGGAGAAAATCTCTTGAACATTTAATGAGAGGAAGAGAAATGCTCCAACTTAAAATATTTGTGATTGCTCGTAATTTTTATCTACTTATCAGACGAATAACAAGGAGAAGACTACCCTCCCTCACAGGGGGAACTTTTGAGTACCCTCCCTCACAGGGGGAACTTTTTTTTATTTTTTTATTTTTATCTTCTAGCAATTTTTATCTACTTATTCAGATGTATATGTTGTAGTGTTGCAGTTAAAACATGGTACAAAAGTAATCCGTGTTTCCATCGCGTGTGTCACTAGCAGTATAGTCATCCATATCCTGTCAATATCTGTCCAATTGTTCCCATTTCATAGTAGCTATTGCATGTCTACTATGTCCCTATGAGCCATTGATGATGAAGTAATGACCGGCTGAAAGAAGAAAATTTACAAATTAGGCTCGTTGCAGTTGTTCTGATTGTGGTAACTACATGATACTTATTTATTATTGTTAAGGGTTTAGTCTCAAGATGTAACCATTTCAGTAATTTACATCAAGAGATTCTGCTCTATTTCCCTCCCTTTACTACTCTGTGTCATCTTACCTCTTTCAGGTATGTTCTATTTCATCAGTCAGTAGGATTGAATGGGATCGTTCTTATAGGTTTCTCTTGAATTCGTATATTGCAGAAACTACTCATAGGTTCTACATTCCTTCAAATGAAATCATCACAAGAAGAGATGAAGGCAGTCAGTAGTGAGATTGATGGCACAATAAGAACAAGAAGTGTGAAGAACAATGCCTACATTTCTAGCACAATTCATGATCTGTTATGCTTTGTAGCACCGATGATGGTGGAGCGGGCGCATGCTCATATTTCTCATGGTATGGCTGATGATCTTGATGAGGCCAAGTACACACATTACAAATATTGGTCTAATCCTCTTGAGACGAGGCAAGTAAAAAAAAACAGCATTGAACTTTTTGGAATAATTGTCTGTTTTCATTATTCAGAATTTATTTGGCACTTAAACTGAATAAATTTTATCGGACTTTAGGTTGCCTGATGCTCCTGATGTTGAGATGTATTGTCTATACGGGGTGGATACAAGGACAGAAGAAGCGAATGAGAATGGGGATGACGGAAATGGAGTACCCTTAGTGAGTGCTGGATTCATGTGCGCTAAAGGCTGGCGTGCGAGAACGCGCTTCAACCCTTCAGGTATTCGTACCTACGTGAGGGAGTACACCGACACCAACAAAACCTCTCCCAACTTAACATCCTCGGCTTCGGAGAGCGATAATGCTCGTGTCAACATATTGGGGAATTCTGCGTTGATCGAGGATATACTGAGGGTGGCTGCTGGTGCTTCAGGTTTTCAGATTGGAGGTGACAAAGTGCACTCAACCATTCTAAGCATATCTGATCAGGTCAAGTTCCATGGTGGGTAGTTGCATGTCATCGCCGCCGGGTAAAACTGTGATGCGTCTATGCGGCAGAGATGGCTGGCGGAGGACTAAACAGTGAACAATTAATCGAGGCTAAGAACTAATACTGCACTTACTCAGTGCACCCTCGTGCTGAGAAGGAGCGATCCAGATTGAAAACCCAGAGTGAAAGTTTGATATTGTAACCGGAAGCTTCACATCAAGTTAATTTCGGAGAATACGTTAGCTCTAACCATGATGAGTGCTTACCTTCTCGTCTTCTCTTCTGCATAATACTTCGAGTTCATCTTTTTTTTTTTCTTTTCGGGTTTTTAGGGAACTGTTGTATTTTACTGGCTTATAGGAATTGTTGTGATGTACAGATTTAGGAGGTTGTTGTAAATTTAAGATCGAGGGTTGTTTGCATTTTTCATTTTTTTCAGAATTTAGGGGAAGGCTCTTTGTAATTTTTTGGGTTGGAATTAGCAAACATCTAGATTTGGAGGGTAATTACTATGCGAGTAGGGGCATTCGGGGTTATGTGTGCAAATTCCTATATGAAGAAGCATAGGGTAATACTGCTATGGGGGTTAAGTGAAAAAACCCAAAACATTTCTAGGTATTTTCTGGAGTACCCAAACTTAATGGGGGTTTAAATAGGAGTTTTAAAGGGATAAATTTTCAAAACCAACCTGTTTGTCAAAAAATTCCTAAAAAAAGACCCGTTCAAACTTAATTTTAAAAACCGATCTAGTTGGGCTGAAACTGGGTCGGTTTTTAAAAAAAAAAATCTTTAAACTTCACGGGAGTTGAAGTCCCGTGAAGTTTTTTATAACTTTGTTATATAAAAAACTTCACGGGACTTCAACTCTCGTGAAGTTTGGGAATTATTTTTTTCAAAAACCGTTCGCTGTTTTTAAAATTAAGTTTGAAATGGATTTTTTTTGGGAATGAAAATCAAAACAGGTTGGTTTTGAAAATTTATCCAGTTTTAAAGTAGTCAAGGTTAAGTGCCAGACGTCCAAATTTATTGAGAGAGAGGGAGTTTTGTGAAATTTATCCTCTAATAGAGGATCTTCTAATTTGGTCCTCAATGGCTGAGATGCTTCGCCTCTAATAATTAGATCTGTTATTTTCGTTTGTCATCTGAGTCTCCGTTTGTGTTCCTTTTGCGGGTGTCGGGGGGCATCAAAGGAGAAGGAGTCGGGGGGCATCAAAGGAGAAGATAAGGAAATCAAATCAAAATCAGCACAGAAGTCAGAAGGAAAAAAAAAAATAAAAAAAAGAGGGGGATGAAAATGGAGAGGGGCTCCTCCTCATTCTCAGAGCCGATACTGTTCAGATGCCATCCAATTCCTATCCCCATCTTCCAACATCCCAACTCCTTCAAACTGGCTGAAGACCCGTCGCCCATCACCGTCCGCCATCGGTCATCAGCAGCCGAGATCAACGTGAAGAAGAACGATGCCATTTGCGTTCTTTGTCCGCCTCCGCCTTCCCCCGCCGTGAGCGCGGGTGGTGATGGCGACGCAAAAACAACGGCGGCAGCAGCAGAGCAGCAAAGCCATGAAGGAAGAAGAGACGCTTGACGTGCCATCTCCCGGAGCACATTGGCAAGCACCCGTCATGGCGTTGCTCGCAAATAGCGTTCCGGAATCAGCGGCCCTCTTCGGGTGCGGGCCGTCGCTCGGCGCTGCGCCAAGAACTGTCACCCGCGCCTATGACGCTGCATCAAGCTCTTATGGCAGGTCCTCCGCCCCCCCTCCCTCTCTGTTCACAATTACCAACCGCTCCGTCATATTCCTTTCCTCGCATTCCATTTGTGTTGCAGACTCATGGGTTGCGCGCTACTGGTGCCGCCGCCGCTGCGAAGAAGGCGATTGGGTTCGTGGAGGTGTGTTCACATATGTTTATGCGTGTGTTGGCTAGCTTTTTCATATATGCTTGTTTGGTAGAATTGTTAGATCCTAAATTCCGATTGTGAAAACTATCACATATAACACAATATACATGTTGAATTATAACACAATATACATGTTGAATTAAAGAGAATCAAAATACTGAATTGCGCAGAAGCTTACCTGAATCCAAAGCCATGAATAATCTCTTGATTTGTGCAGTATAGCCTTCCAAATCTGCACGTTTCTTTAAGAGAGTTCCCTTCAATTTCTGTATCTCTCTCTATTCTCTCTTTGATGATGAGATATCAAAAGATAGGGATAAATTGAACGTGTGATCTGGGGATCATAATCACTATTTATAGAGATAACTCAAAACAACTTTCCGGTTGATATTTTATATTTTAGCCCATCATTAAAATAGAAATCACCCCTGTATCTACACATTAAAGGCCCACATCCTTATCTGATACATTTTAAAATTCATATCTGTCTAGATCACTTTAAACTGAGTTTATCTTTATTTAACAGTTTATAATGGATAACAATATCACATATTAGCCCAATATTCGATTAAGGATCCAACAATCTCCTACTTAGGCTATATATGTAACCTCATAGTTATACATTGCAACAAATAACCATATGAGCTCAACTTTACTATTATTACTGAAATGTATCTTTATCCAATACCGTCCATCAATCATACCAACATAGGATCAAAGCGGACTTCGTTACATCTATCGTAACTAGACCCATCAATGATCACATATGCCAATACAACTGAATGACATGGATCATGATGTGAATGTTTAGCATGGAAATGTCATGCAATGTGATCTTAACATGCCTATTTCCAACTAGTCCTCCCTTAAAACTTTAGTGATGTCAAACCATACCAAAATCAGAGTGTAAATAAATTAAAACTTTATTTCTGCTGAAAACAACCTCAAAATATCCATAAACTGAAATAACCGAAAAATATGTCTATATCAGTGTTTGCGTAGTTCGTCGATTCACTTCAAGCGTTCACCGACATCAATCAAACTTCTGTGAACCGGATAGTAACGTTCATCGTCGTTTCTTTGCACTGAGCTGTTCGTGGAGACCTATAGGCAATTTTTGATGCCTACAGATCCCCCCTCCAAAGCGTTCCAGACTCGTTTCTTTTATAGAAGAGACTGGAATACTTTGGATATGATTGATCCAGCCTTTGATCGGCATAAAGGACCTGTGATTAGCTTCAATTCTTGACTCCTTCGATTTTCAATCCATTCGATGGTTTGACGAATAGCTGAAGTTCTTTCGGCGTCGCGTTTATCGCCTGGCCGTCGTCGAAGTCTTAAATCTAAAACTGATGAGTTGAGTTTGGCTCGTGTCGTCGAGTTGACTTTGAATTGACTATCTCCGTCATGATATATTGACTCGCGTTGACTTTTTTATCGCAACGCGTTGACTGGCGTTGACCTAGGGTTACGCGTTGACCGGCGTTGACCTTAGGGTTTTGAACGTCGTATGTTGACTTTTTGATCGCAACGCGTTGACTGGCGTTGACCTAGGGTTACGCGTTGACCGGTGTAGACCCTAGGGTTTTGAACGTCGAACGTTAACTTTTTGATCGTAACGCGTTGACTGGCGTTAACCTAGGGTTACGCATTGACAGGCGTTGACCTAGGGTTTCAGATCGCTTGACGTTGGCACAGTTTATACTCGTACGTTTGCTGGAGCATACACAGTTTAAGTTCTTAAGGTATTAGAGCACGGTGATCCCAAATGTCGGAGCTGCAGGACCAACTGTTAAAGCTGATTCATCTGCATGTATAGATCTTATCCTTATGTTATTGGATGCTCAAGTCACGAGACCAACTAATGGAGTTGGTGCGTCAATGACTCGTATTTATAGAATTTTTGGCAAATTCTCAGCCCTCAACGGGTTTGATGAGCCTTTACTGACCATTGTTTGAGTCGGGCTAGCATGCAAATTATTTAGATCCGTTCTGCACATAACGTTGTGCTAAAAGAGTTAACTCTTTTAGTGCTACGACATCGAATACGTAGATTTCGTCTTTCTCATGGGAATAGACTACCCGTCAACGTGTGTTAGACGTAGACTTAGGATTTTTGACTTAGGATTTTTGACAAATCCTCAGCCATCAACGGATTTGATGTGCCTTTACCGACTACCGTTTGAGTCGGGCTAGTAAGCGGATTGTTTACTTCCGTTCCGAATGTGACGTTGTGCTAAAGGAATAAACTCCCTTAGACTTGATGCTACGACTTCGAATACGTAGACTCCGTCATTGTTACGGGAATATGCTACCCGGCAACGCGTGTTAGGCGCTGACTTATCCTTACTTAGGAATCAGGATAAAAGTCCCCAGACTCGGATTCTGGTGTCTTCTTCAATCGGTAAAAGACTAAACCGACAACGCGTGTTAGGCGTTGGCTTATCCCTGCTTAGGCTTCGGGATAAAATTCCCCATGCGTGTGAAGTACGGATTTTGATGTTATTAATAACAACCTGTCACAATATTGAATATGTGGGCTTTTGTCCTTTTTACGGTTAAGGACTAACCGGCAACGCGTGTTAGGTGTTGATCTATCTCTACTTAGGATTCGGGATAAAATTCCCCGTGCGTGTGAAGTACGGATTTTGGTGTTATTAATAACAACCTGCCATAATATTGAATATGTGGGTTTTTTTCTTTTTACGGTTAAAGACTAACCGGCAACACGTGTTAGGTGTTGACCTATCCCTACTTAGGATTCGGGATAAAATTCTTCATGCATAAAAGACATGGATTTTTATTGCTACGATGCTGAATACGTAGACTCGGTCGTTTTTTTTACGGGAACGAACCACCCAACAACGCGGGTTAAGCGCTGACTTATCCCTACTTAGGCTTCGGGATAAAATACCCCAGACTGAAATTCTGGTATCTTCTTCAATCGGTGAAAGACTAAACCGGCAACGCGTGTCAAGCGTTGACTTATTCCTACTTAGGATTCGGGATAAAATTCCCCGTTCCTGTGAGACACGGATTTTGGGAGTTAAAAAGTGGTGTCTTTTCTTTGGGCAAAGACGAACCCGAAATGAGAGAGGAAGAATTTTATATTCTATTTTCCAACACTGAAGAGGAAGAATTTTATATTCTATCTCCAGTTAGAAAGGAAACTCGAGATAAGATCTCCACCCCTAGAATCCGGAAAGGTGAAACTAGGGGTGAGATCTCCACTCCGAGAATAAAAAAGATTCGGATAACCCTAACTATCAGAAGGTTTGATTACCGAACTAAAGATAAATTTCTCGTTTATCGAGAGTGAATTGTGATTTTGGTCCTAACTGTAGGAATGTTTGACCAAGCGGGAGTTTAAGATGACCCTAACTGTAGGAAGGTTTGATCACTCGATTTGAAAGTGGACCTCTCGTTTATTGGAGGAATCAAGAGGGGATTTTGGTTTTGGCCCTAACTGTAGGAAGGTTTGACCGAGTGGGATGTTTGAGACGATATTAACTGTAGGAAGGTTTGATCGCTCGTTTTGTGGATCTCTCGTTCATTGGAGGAATCGAGAGGAGATTTTGGTTGTGATCCTAACTGTAAGAATGTTTGACCAAATGGGAGTGGGAGTACAAATTATAGTGGGGGTGTTGACTTGTACAAATCACTCAAATGGGGTTCCTGGTGTTAAGTGATAGGGACTTAACACAAAGGGGTTTGACAATTTGTCAAGGATGGACAGATTAAAATTCTAAGCATTATATCCGGACTCTAACCATGAAAGTGTTGAGTGCACGGACATAACGGAAGTTTGAATGGATTAAACCAGAAAGAATTTTAGTGGACCCACTATCAATAAATTTGATCAGTGAGGGATTTTATAGTGGAAGACTATGAGTCGTCGAACACCAATGAGAGTTTTGTGAGGGAAAATTGATCCAATGAAGTGATCGAATCTCGTCTCAGCAAAAGAGTGTTCGAAAATCACAATAAGAGTTTAGTGTTTATCACTTCATTCATAATGATCAGGTTATCCCTAAGAATATTACATTTAACATTCTTCTGGAAACTTCCTGTTACATAAATTATCCACCCCCAGCTTCCTTTGTGAAGCTGGGTTTACCATTGTATTTAGTTGCATGATCGGGTTATCCTTAAGAATATTACATGTAAAAATTCTCCGGGAACTTCCCGTCAAGAGTGGGAATAGTTTAGACTCATATACCTATTGGAGTATCAGGGAGCAGTTTAACCTCATATACCGATTGGAGGATTGAGAAGCAGTTTATACTCGTATACTCTTCGGAGTGTAGGAATGAGCAGTTTATACTCTTATACTTATCGGAGTGTTGAGAAGCAGTTTATACTCGTATACTCTTCGGAATGTAGGAAGTAGCAGTTTATACTCTTATACTTATCGGAGTGTTAAGAAGCAATTTATATTCTTATACTTGTCGGAGTCTTACCGTTCTCATTTGGCTTATCCCAGCGTTATGACGCCGACTTCAACCAAGGTCTGAATGCTATTGTTTAAAGTAAAGCAAGCCTTGGTGGGATGAAGGATCCTCCTGTGGTACGCGTAGTACTTCGGATCTGCAGTACCGTCAGCTTCCTCCTGATTTGTGATGGGTGGCAGCTTGACCTTGTTGTTTTCAAGAAGGGTCTCGAAGATAGTTAGAACGTCTTCGTCCTTGAATGAGTACTCTTTTTAGAGCCTCGGATCCGAAGTCTTCTGCTGTCTTCGGGGCTACTGTTGCGACGTCTGATTAACGTCAATAACTGTTGTAGGTACCATCCCTTCATCATGGGACACGAGACTCGAATTCAGAGGGTTAACCATCGGTTGGTTTCTTTCGACCTTCCTCCTTTTGAGGAAGCGTTCGGCCTGTTCTTCGCGCACCTTCAACTCTTTCCAGGTATTGAGCGGCTCTACTCGCATAACGTCCAAGATGTTAATAGACAAGTTGTTATGACAGGTCTGCAAGACGAATTCCTCC